ACATGACCTGAGCAAAGATCAACAAACATGAATATAATCTCTAATGCAAGTTCCATCTCGAGTGTTATAGTCATTTCCAAAGACTGACAATTGTGGTAATTTACCTACTAAAACTTTTGTTATAATTGGCATTAAATTTGTTGGAATTCCTAATGGATTTTCTCCAAGTAATCCACTTTTATGTGCTCCTATTGGATTAAAATATCTTAATAAAATTACTGATGCTTCTTTGTGTGCTTTACTAAAGTCAGTTAAGATTTGTTCAGTCATTGCTTTAGTTTGACCGTATGGATTTGATGGTTTTTGTAAAGGTGTTGTTTCTTTTACTGGCATAACTTCAGGCTCTCCATAAACAGTTGCTGAAGAAGAAAAAATAATTCTCCAAATTTGGTGTCTTTGCATAGAATCTAGTAAATTCAAAACTCCATTCAAGTTATTTCTATAATATTCAATTGGTTTAGAAACAGATTCCCCTACTGCTTTTAATGCAGCAAAATGAATAACAAAATCAACCCTGTGCTTATTTAATATTTGATCAATTTCATCAATATTAAGTAAGTCAGCTTTATAGAATGTAATTCTTTTTGGGTCTGCTTTCGTGATTTGAAGAATATGTGATATAACTGTTTCATGTGAATTAGTTAAATTATCAATAATAACCACATCATATCCAATTTCAATAAGTTCAACAACAGTATGACTTCCAATAAATCCTGTTCCTCCTGTAACAAGAGCAGTGGGTGCCATTTGATTTTTGTTTAGCGATTGAAACAATTTAGATTAAATAGTTGTATGCTTAGAAACTTTATAACTAAACGATAGTTTAATAATAATTTAATTATAAAATAAAATTATTACATTGTGTAACTTAAAAGAATAGAGTCTTCTATGAGAAAGTTAAAGTTGTACGAAAAGATATTAACGGTATTACAACTAACTTATTTATTACTTTAAAGAAAGTCAACAATTTTAACAATTTTATATAATATCATTAATTTATATTTTGATACGTTAAATTAGAATGCATCAACTCATTTCTACTACTATTTTAATTCAACTCTTATAAATAACTTGCAAAGGACTTCCAATAGGTAGTTCTTATGAAATTATTGGTATTAGTATTAAATATGGTGGATGGAAATTTTCTAATGAGAATTATATAGAAATAAATAATAAACATTGTTTAAATTTTTCAATTTCGTAGAGAAGTTTATTTCAAGAGATTTAATTAATCGTATTGTTCTAATTATTATATGCTCCCATTAAATGGTTATGTTGATGGGAGAATGATTCTCCTAGTTTATCTAGA